CAGCATGGACACGGTGATGAGTTTGGGATGCTGAAAGCACCCACGTGGTGGGTGGTGTGAGATGCTGCGGGCACCCATGTGGCTGGAAGTGCAGGATGCTGTGGCCAGGGATGTGCGATGCTGCAGCCAGGGATGCGGGATGCTGCAGCCAGGGATGCGGGATGATGCAGCCAGGGATGCGGGATGCTGCGGCCAGGGATGCGGGATGATGCAGCCAGGGATGCGGGATGATGCGGCCAGGCTGTGAGATGCTGCAGCGGGATGCCAGAGGTAGCAGTGAGGGATTCTGCAGCCAGGAATGAGGGATGCTGCGCCTGGGGATGTGGGATACTACAGCCAGGGATTCAGGATGCTGCAGATGGGATGTGGGATGCTGCAGTAAAGGATGCAGGGATACCAGGGGTAGCAGTGTGGGATGCTGCAGGCAGGAATAAGTGATGCTACATGCAGTGGTGCAGGATAGTATAGCAAGGTATGCAGGATGGTGCAGGCAGGGATGCCGCAGATGGGATGCAGGATGCTGCAGGCAGCAGCCCTACCTGCTGCAGCCGGGAATGAGGGATGCTATATGCAGTGGTGCAGAATACTATAGCCAGGGATGCAGGATGCTGCAGACAACGCAGGTTGCCACAGGCAGGATGCTGCAGTAGTGGTGCGGGATGCTACCCAGCTCCTTGGTCCTGCAGGACATGAGGTGCAGGACACTGGATGTGGGATACTGGATTCAGGACATGGGATGCAGGACACAAAGTGCAGGAGATGGAGTATTAGACACAGGATGCAGGAGACGGCATGCAGGACATGGGACGCAGGACATGGGATGCAGGACACAAGGTGCAGGACATGGGATGCAGGACAGGGGATACAGGACATGTGGTGTAGGACATGGGATGCAGGACATGGGATGCAGGACACACACGGGATGTAGAACATGGGATTCAGGACATGGGATGGGATGCAAGACACTGGGTGCAGGACATGGGATGTGTTACATGGGATGTAGAACATGGGATGCAGGACATGGAATTGGATGCAGAACATGGGATGGGATGCAGGACACTGGATGCAGGACATGGGATGCAGGACACAGGATGCAGGACATGGAATTGGATGCAGAACATGGGATGGGATGCAGGACATGGGATGCAGGACACAGGATGCAGGACACCGAATGGGAAGCAGGACATGGGATGGGATGCAGGACACGGGATGAGATACGGCACACGGGATGGGATGCAGAACATGGGATACAGGACACAGGATGGAATGCAGGACACGGGATGGGATGCAGGACATAGAATGGGATGCAGAACACGGGATGGGATGCAGGACACGGGATGGGTTACAGGACATGGGATGGGATGCAGGACACGGGATGGGATGCAGAACATGGGATGGGATGCAGGACACGGGATGGGATGCAGAACACGGGATGGGATGCAGAACATGGGATACAGGACACAGGATGGGATGCAGGACAGGGGATGGGATACGGGACACGGGATGGGATGCAGGGCACGGGATGGGATGCAGGACACGGGATGGGATGCAGAACATGGGATGCAGGACACAGGATGGGATGCAGGACACGGGATGGGATACGGGACACGGGATGGGATGCAGGACACGGGATGGGATGCAGGACACGGGATGGGATGCAGGACACGGGACGGGATGCAGGGACACGGGATAGGATGCAGGACACGGGATGGGATGCAGGACACGGGATGGGATGCAGGACACGGGATGGGATGCAGAACATGGGATACAGGACACAGGATACAGGACACAGGATGGGATGCAGGACACGGGATGGGATGCAGGACACGGGACGGGATGCAGGACACGGGACGGGATGCAGGACACGGGACGGGATGCAGGACACGGGATGGGATGCAGAACATGGGATACAGGACACAGGATGGGATGCAGGACACGGGATGGGATACGGGACACGGGATGGGATGCAGAACACGGGATGGGATGCAGGACACGGGATGGGATGCAGGACACGGGACGGGATGCAGGACACGGGACGGGATGCAGGACACGGGATGGGATGCAGGACACGGGACGGGATGCAGGACACGGGATGGGATGCAGGACACTAGGTGCCGCTGCTCGGCCAGCGCTGCCAGCCCAGGCTGCAGCATTTAGCCCCTGGCAGGGGATGTGGTGCCCGCAGCCCCTCCAGCAGCGCTGCAGCCCCTCATCCCGCCGGAACATCACCGCTTTCCCCCTTCTCCTCCAGCGTCACCCTCAGGCAAAGCTTCCTTCCTGCTCTGGAGCTGCTGGCAGCGAGGCTGAGGCCGGTATTCCCACCTCAGACCGCATCCCACCGGCACCACGCAGAGGAGCCCTGCACTTCCAGGCGTGCCCAGTCTATGGAAACAGCGGCTTTATGGCCCCGGCGTATGTTATAACCTGGACTCCAACCATTTGCTTTCCTTGCTTTGGGGCATTTCTGGAACAATGCTGAGCTGGTGCCTTTCATTCAGCAACCGCAAAGCACTTTGTAAACTTTAATTAAAGCTTGGAGCCCTCTGGGAGCAGGGAAGTTGCCTTATCCCTAAATTATAGAACGGGAAACTAAGGCATAAAGCAATTAAGATGCTTGAGTGAGGCTCTGTGGCAAGCAGGGGTGGAGGGGGGAAGCGGTTCAGCTTGGAGAACGCAGCCCGGTACGGCTGTATCCTGCGGGATGAGGCTCTCCTGTGATTCCCAGCTGCAGGAATGGGGATGTTCCCAGGCTGGACGGGCTCCCTGACCCCTTCAATGCCGCATCCCTCTCTCCAGCAGGCCAGAAGCCACAATGAGAGAAGTGTGAGAACCTCACAGTGGGCAACATAGGGATAAGCTGCCCCCTACGATGCCTCATCCCGACTCCAAGAGTAATTGGTTTAAACCCCCATTCCTGGGGTTTTATCCCTTCCCAAACTCTTGCTGCATTAACCATTGTCATGCCGGGTGTTTGTGCATCCAGGCAGTGGGATGCTCCTGGGGTCCTGCCTCCAGGGTCGCTGCATCCCCATGCTCCTGCTTCAGGATGGGAACGGTCCCTGGCTGGCTCCTGCATCCCAGTCCTGCCCCTATACACAGCTCCCACCACGGGTTTGCTGCACATGAGCTGTGCTTCCACCCCTGAATCCACCCTTCAATCCACCGGGAAATGATGCTCTGCTGCAGGGACACTGACAGCACCCAGAGAATCGGCTCTGGCTAAAAGGTGCCATTGCCATCCCCAAGCTGGGGACAACAAAACCATGGTGGCTTCATGCGCCCATATCCTAGATGATGGCCCAAACCCTGCCAAAGCCTGAGAGCATGGGTTTGAGCCTGGATGGTAACCGGAAGACATCAGCCTCACCATCACCTGCATCCAGACACGGTGACACCGCTTGTGCTGTGCTGTCAGCCGGATGTGCCATCACCTCCAAGGGCAGTGCTGCTCCTCAAGCTGAACCCTCAACACTGAACCCTCCCCAGCACCTGCAGCCCCAGCTGGGACTGTTCTAAAAGCACCCCATAACTTTTAAGAGCTTGGTTTTGGGGATGGTCCTTAATAGGGGACCACTGCCAGCCCCGGGCCTTGCTGTGTGGGTGCTCTCTGGCTGTATCTGGGATGTGCATCTTTCTCCTCTGTGATTCCCAGGTATTCACTTGGTTAATTATTACTGCTCCAGCCACGGCTGCTGTGCCTCCATCTCTGCACACACAGTGCTGGGAGGGAATATTGGGATCCACGGTGCCTCCAGAATAACCCCAAACCTCCCGCTGGCAGGACCCAAGGAGAGGCCTTAGCTTTGGGAAGGCAGATTTGAGACCCGGAGCAGGGTTTGCATCTTGTGCTGCCCGAGGATGGAGAGGTTCTGCTGGGAGATGTGGGCTGTGTCATGCACAATAAACTCAGGGAAGTCATTTCCCAGCCCAGCGTGCTCCCAGGGGGAGGTGAAGTGACCTGATGCCACCAGCGATGGGCACAACGGTGCAACCACTCGTGATGTCCAGCCTGGTACCCCTACATCCTCCCTGTTCGCCACCTACCCGGCACACGCATCCCGTTCCCGTCGCACCAGCCCTAGTGCATCCCTGAACCTCCTTGCACCACCCAGCTCACACGTTCCATGTCCCACATTGCCATCCCATCACACCCATCTCCTCGGATAACTGCTCTTGCAGAGGTCACCCCACATTCCTGGCCCTACACACGCTCCAGCCTCATCCCATTTTCTGTGTTTGCTTTGGGACCATGAGCTGCCGCTGCTTCCCCCTCCAGTCCCTTTATTTCTGTCATTCCATGGGCCTGTCTCAGCCCAGACTAATGCAACTCCTTGTCAGGAGGAAGGATGGGAAGGGGTTAAACACCTCCACCCTTCCCCACCCTATATCCCAAGGCATTTCCTGATGCTGGGCAGGTACCTGTACCCTTTTCACCTTCCCCCTGGGCTGCTCCAGGTGTTGCTCCCCGGCTGGGGGACCTGGAGTGGGCAAAGCTCCCTTTTCCAGTGGGAAAAGCAGTTGGGAAATAGGACCAGGCCGAGCCATCACCGGCAGCTCCTTATGGAAGCAGCTAAATCCACTGAAAAACAACCCAAGGCACCCACCCGCGGGTTGGGATGTGGGGCTGAGCATCTGTATAGGGTGAAAGCACGCCTGTGTCACCGGTCATACAGGAGATGTGTGTCATGGAAAAGGGGCTGGTTTTTAATGGGAGCCTTGTGTGTGCATAGGATTCCTCACTGGATTCAGTGTAATAATAATACTGCTAATAATAATTAATAAGCGTAGAATAGAATAATAGAATTATGGAATGGTTTGGGATGGAAAGGACCTTAAGATCCTGGGAAGGGACATCTTTCACTAGACCAGGTAGCTCAAAGTATAATAATAATAGTAATAATTGTTATAATGGCAATAATAATGGTAATAATAATAATAGTAGTAATAATAATAATAATAGTAATCATAATAATCCTGCTTTTGGAACAGTCACCAGCCAGGTTGACTCTTCCACTCTCCTGTGCTTTGATGCTCATCCTGTATCCCATCCCTTTGCACATTGGGGTTATTTCCCTCCAAATAATTAAAAGATTCATAAAAAAAGACTATTTTCCTAAAGCCCAAGGGGAAAATCTGGTCCCTGCCAGCCCACAGACCCCCCTGCAAACCGCTGCTGCCAATCCCAGCCCTTTCCCAGCTCGTTCTCTGCCTGGAGCCATGCGGAAAGGAAGGACGAACGACCCCACTCGCTCCCTGCCCTGCGCCCGGCGCCTGCAATGGGAACAGCATCCTAGAGAACCCCGTGCAGCGCAGCAAAACATCCATTCCTTCTATATCTATAATGCCTCTTCCCATTGCCAGATCTCCGCGTGGATTTAGGGACGGATGCCTCCGCTTTTTCCCCTAATAAACTGCATTATCGCTCTGCGGCTCGGGGCAGCGCGGAGCTGAGCTCCCCTCCGGGCATCCCGCCGCTGCCCTTTCCGCCCAGACAAGTCTCTGTTTGTTCTTTGACCTCTGGGTTTTGTTGTTTGGGCTCTTTTTGTCCCTGCTTTTCACAGCGTTTTCAGCCCGGAGAGGTGACAGAAGGGAAAGGAGCGGAGCTGGAGGGTCCCTATGGACGCACCCTGCGAGCCGCGGGGCCGGGGGTCGGGATGCTCTGATTTTACTGCTTATTTCTATGAGGATACAAACAGCTTTGGGAGGATCCTGTGGGCTCAGGGCACCGTCCCTGCATCCATCCCTGCGCATTCCCACAGTTTCCTCCCGGGAACTTGGGAGGTTTTCGCTTGGCAGAGCCCGGTGAGGATGAGCCAGGCGGGGACCGGGAACACCCACAGCTCCGGCTTGGTTTTCCAATTAAAATAAAGGATAGAAACGAAATTAATTCGGGAATAGGCCCAACTTCCTAACGGGAATTTAGAGAAAACTTTCTCCATAGACTCAGATACTGAATATTACGGGAAACTGGACTCTCACCGGGAACATTTGGGAATAGCCGCTCACCAGGACACCGTGCTTGGACACACACAGAGATGCTCAGCCCCGGCTCCCCCGTTTTCCCCCAGCACCGTATGATCTCTATTTCCTTTTATCCCTACAATTTTCCCCGGTCTCATCCAATCTAAATCCCTGTGGAATGGCTTTTGTAAAAGCAGAGATAAAGGAAATATTATTTCCTTCGCCTTTCCTGACTTCCGCAATGTTGAAGCTCAGAACCAAGGAGCATTTTCGCAGCTCCCCAGGGAAGGGGATCCCGGTGCGGCTCCTTTTTTAAACTCGGGTTTGAAAACCGGATCTTCCTCTCGAGGAAAACACCCCCAGCAAGCAAGAAATAGCCCTGGAAAACCGCTCCGGAGAGCGGCGTAACACGAGCCCGGCATTCCCAGCCGGGAGCGACGGCAACAACCGAAGGAACACTGCGCCACAAAGATAAAATCACCCAAATCGGCATGGATCAGCCACTGTTTCCTGGGTAAAAACAGGTGGAATTCTGTAGAGTACAGCTAGAGCCCTGAGCATGTTTAGTGCTGTATCTGCTGCCTAATGCTGAGCTGCTCCCGCAGGCAGATGGATGGGTGGATGGATGGATGGATGGATGGATGGATGGATGGATGGACAGTGGGGCTGATAGCTGTGGGTTGGTGGCTACCTGGGGTCCATGGGTCTGGAGGTATCTGGATCTGGGGTCACCGGGTTTGGGGATCCCTGAGTCTGGGAGTAAATAGGTTTTGGGGTACCTGGGTCTGGGGGTGGCTGAGTCTGGGGTTACTGGCTCTGGGGGTACCTGTGTCTGAGGGTACCTGGGTTTGGGGGTACCTGGGTCTCGGAGAGGCTGAGGCTGCTGGCCAGCTGCTTGCGTTCGGCACCCACCACGTAGTGGTTCTTCTCGAAGGCCCGTTCCAGCCGCAGGAGCTGCGACGGCGAGAAGGCGGTTCGGATGCGCTTGGGCTTCCGGGCGAAGGGGCCGTGGAGGAGCAGGCTCTCCTGGGACACTTCGCTCCCTGTGGATAGTGAGAGGAATCAGGGGCCTGCACTGGAAGCCCCAGCACACCCAGAGCCCCTTCCATGGGCCCGGGGCATACAGGAAGGACAGACACGGGGGTACCAGGAGTCCCCTGGTCCCCAGGAGTGCAGCTTGGTCCCATTGAGCACGGCTGTGCCTTGGCCATGCTGCTCTGGGTCCCATGGTGGGGCTGGACATGGGACAATGGGAGGAGAAGGGGAAAGGAGGGAAGGAAAGAGAGAAGGGCTGGGAAAAAGCAGGTAGAAAAAGAAGATAAATAAAGAGGAGAAAGATGGGCTACGAAAGTGGCAGGGGGAAAAAGGAGGCAGAAAGGAAGAAGTGAGAAAGAAAGAAAAAGAAAAGGAAGAAACTAAAATAAGGCAGAAAGACGAGGATGAAAACAAGGAGTGAAAGGGAGAAGGGAAGAAAGAGAGAAGGAAAGTGGGAAAGGAAGAACGAAAAGGAAACGAAAGAGAGAAAGAAGCGGAGAGAGAGATGGAGAGAAAAAAGAGAGAAAGAAACGAAGAGATAAAGAGGGAAGGAAAGAAAGTGTTAGAAAGAAAAGAAAGACGTCATAAACGAAGGGAAAGAGAGAAATAAATAAAAAAGGGAAATAGAAGAAGGCGAAATGAACGAAATAAAATAGATTAAAAAAAATACCGAAAAGGAAGAGAGAAATGAATGGAAGGAAAGAGAAATAAACGAAGGGAAGGGAAACCCGCGAGAGGCCGGCAGCGGGGCTCGGCGGAGGGGCCGAGCTCAGCACCGGGGAGGCAGCGCCGGGAGCCGGGCCGGGATCGGGATCGTATCGGGCCGGTGCCCCGGGCTCTGCCGGCAGCGGCCGTGATCCCCGGCGGAGCCGCCGGAGCCCGGAGCGACGCGAGGGGTTGGTGCCGAGCAGATAACCCTGATCTGGGCTCCTCCGGGACAACCGGGACCTCCGGGCATCACGGCAGGGAGAGCGGGGACAGGAGGGAAAGGAAAGGAAAGGAAAGGAAAGGAAAGGAAAGGAAAGGAAAGGAAAGGAAAGGAAAGGAAAGGAAAGGAAAGGAAAGGAAAGGAAAGGAAAGGAAAGGAAAGGAAAGGAAAGGAAAGGAAAGGAAAGGAAAGGAAAGGAAAGGAAAGGAAAGGAAAGGAAAGGAAAGGAAAGGAAAGGAAAATGGAACAAAATACAGACTGAGAAAGGGGAAAAAAAGAATACAAGAAACGGAGAGACAGAAAAGGAGAGAAAGAGAAGAAAGAGGAAGGCGATGGAGGGAGTCGGAGGAAAGAAAGAAGAAGAAAGAAGGAAAGAATCCGAAGGAGCCGCGAGCAACGCGTTAAAATCAAACGAAATCCCGCCGAGAATCCCGGAGCCGCCGCGATCCATCCCCTCCGTTCCCGAGCGGGAGAAGCCCCAACTCCCGGCTCCGCCAGCCTCGGGGCCGCGCAGGAGCCAGCAGCGCCGGTCCCGTCCCCGGGAACCCCGCGGGGCCTGGCCGGGACCTCGCTCCGAGCACCGGCACCAGCGAGCAAAGGCATCGAGCACCGGGAGCGCAAAGGCATCGAGCACCGGTGTGCGAACGCCCGCAGCCCCGCACGGCAGCCGCAGCAACAGGTTCTGCCCCCGGTTCTCCCTCGCCCCGCCGTGAACGGGCCCCGCTGCCGGTGCCCGCCGCTCACCTTGGAAGCGGTGCCCGAAGAAGCGGTTCCGCAGCACCCAGGGGTAGAAGTTGAGCGGGTCGCGGTGCTGCGGCCCGAAGAAGGAGTGAGGCGGCGGCAGCGCCGAGCCCCCGAGCTGGTGGGGCCCGACGGGCAGCGCCGGGTGCCCCACGGCCTCGGGGAAGACGAGCTCGGCGCTACCGTACAGGGCCCGGCCGGCGGCGGCGGCGGCACCGGGGAAGCCGGGGGTGAAAGCGGCGGCGTCGGCAGCGGCGGGGCCGGGGTAGGCGAGGGCGGCGGGGCGCGGGGGGTCCCCGGGGCCGAGCGGGGTGTCCTTGCCCACCAGGGACTCGATGGTGAAGCAGCGCTTCGCGGACGGCTGAAACATGGTGTGAGCCGGGATGGGGCGGGAGGGGGGGGGTGTGGGATGGGGAAAGGGGAGGGGGGGCAGGAGCGGGGCTGTTCCTTCGTGTGTGTGTGTGTGTGTGTGTGTGTGTGTGTGCAAGAAACCTCCCCCCGGCCCTGCACACCCGCACACACACACCCGCACCCGCCCCGCGGGTTCCCACGCACCCGCAAGCCCCGGGCAGCCGCTACAAATACAGCCGGTACCTGGCGGGGCCCGGCGGAGGGGGCGGCCTCACCTGCCCGGACCGGGGCCGGGACCGGGGATGGAGATGGGGCCGGGCCGGGCGGGGAGGGAAGGGGAGGGCAGGACAGGACGGGCAGGGGAGGGAAGGGGAGGGCAGGAGGGGCAGGGGCAGGCAGCAGGAGGTAGGGGAGGGTAGGACAGGCAGGAGGAGGCAGGGGAGGGCAAGAGGAACGTAGGGGAGGGCAGGGGGACGTAGGGGAGGGCAGGACAGGCAGGGGAGGAAAGGGAGAGGCAGGACAGGCAGGGGAGGGCAGGAGGAGGCAGAGAGCGCCCGAAAAACTGGACTGGAGCCGCTCCCGCAGCCGTGCCGCGAAGTTGTGGAGAGGGGCTGCGGCTGCGGGGCGGCTCCTTCCTGCTTCTTGGAGGAATAATAAATATTTAAAATTGTAATAAATTTTAAAAAATCTTTTTTCTTTAAAAAAAAACCCACATCTTTTTCCGTTGTTTTTTTTTTCCCTTTTCCCCGTTGTTTTTTTTTTTTTCGCTTTTTAAACCTAATAAAATAACCCCACAGCCGGGGCGCCCGTTGGTAACCCCGCGGCTCGGGAGCTGCCGGCAGGGGCACACAGACACACGCAGACACGACATTGCACACACCCCCCCGCGCAAACTCCGCTCCCCTCCGCGTAACGCCAACCCCTCCCCAAAGGCAGGACCTTCCCCCCCCCCGGACAAAATCCCGCTCTTCCCACGGGTCCGATCCTGGGAATAATGAATGGAATTGGTTTAACACACACACACACACACCAATAACCCCCGTTTTGGGGTGTTTCCTGGGCGGCGCGGGGGTTCCGCGGGGCGCGCAGCCCTGCGCGGGCCCGTCCCGAGTTCGCTCCGCAGTTTGGCGCTGCTCGGGGTCCCGCCAGCCCGCCCAAAGCGGGGGGAAAGTCGATTTTCCACTTGGCTGGATTGAAATACCCAGCGCGGAGCATTCCCCTCCCGCGGAGAGGGGAGCGCTGCTGCGAGGCCCGCGGGCTTTGCGCGGACTTTGCGCGGACTTTGCGCGGACCCGCTGCCCGCAGGAGGATGCGGGGAAAGAGCTGGGAAGGAGGGAGGAGAGAAAAATTGCATGAAACCCGCAGAAATTAAAGCCTAAACCGGGAGCGAGCGCCTCGGCAAAACGCGTTTATTTTGATAGCCCAAAAGGAGGAAAAAACAGAAACCTGAATTTGAAATCTATTTTTCTATTCAAAAATGGAAATAAAGAAGCGGGGTTGCGTCAAGCGGCTTCTGGAGAGGGCAGAGCAAAGCGGAGCTCACCCGCGGAAGGATGGGGATAAGGAAGGAGAAGGGGAAAGGGAAAGGAAAGATGGGAAAGGGAAGGAAAGGGAAGGGAAGCGGAATGCGGGGAGAGCACTCGGCTCGGACGCGGGAGCTGTGCCCGGCTCCGGACCATTGGTGTGATTTAATTGAAATCAATGTAATACAATTTCATCCCGCTCCATTCCCGGTCTGTTTCCCCTCCCGATGCTCAGGGCCCGCTGGTCGTTCCGTGCCGATCCCGCTGGATTTCAGCATCTCCTGCGGGGGGATAATGAAAGAGGCGGCCGGGGACCGGCTGCTCGGCGTCTCCTCAGGAGCCTTATTTTTGGGGAAGCTGCTTTGGAGCGAGGGATAAATCACCCTATTGGGAAAACTATAAACCTTTAGGCTGGTTTTCCATTTTTTCCTATTCATCCCGGGGGATTTCAGCCCTGGCTCCATGTCCAGGCGAGCTCCATGGATGCTCTGAAAGGAGCTACACTGAAAACCAGCCGAGAAACCCAAATTTATCTTTACGTTTCTTCCCCCCCACCCCAGGCCTCCAGCATCATTCAGGCAGGATCTTTATCTCCCGTTGGAATAAAACACGGGACCCCAGGTGGGTGCCTTGCTTCAGCCCCAGGATTATTAAGAGGAAAACTTCAGCTCCAGCATCGCTGGGAGGAGGTGATCTGGGAGCTGCTGCCTTCCCGCTGGATTTCTGGCCAGGAGGAGCTCTGCGTGGAGGAGAAAGGCATTTTCCTTTATAACGAAAGAGCGACTGAGCCTGCTGGAGCAGTGGAGGGACACAGACAGCAGCAGCACTGGGCAGGCAGCACTGGCCTCAGGGGTGGTGCACCGGGATCAGGGGGTGCTGCTGGGGAAAAAGGGGAGATTTGCTGCCTGTGAACACACAGCAGTGAGGGCTTTCCCAGGAGAAAACGAAAGAGGGATGAAGGAGAAGGAGAGGGGGACAGGACAGGCACCAAAAACTGGCTTTGGGGATGGGGGTAGAGGGTCAGCGTGGGGATGTGTGGGGATGGGCAGAGGGACTGTGGGTCCAGCCCCATTCATCAGCATCCTGGTTGGGCTCAAATCAGTGTCTGAGCTCAAATCACTGCCTGGCCTCAAGTCACTGCCTGAGCTCAAATCACTGCCTGGCCTCAAGATACCTGCCTGGACTTAAATCAATGCCTGGACTTAAATCAATGCCTGGGCTCAAATCAATGCCTGGGCTCAAATCCCTGCCTAGGCTCAAACCTCTGCCTGGGCTCAGATCCCTCCCTGTACCGTTCTCTCCTGCAGCAGGAGCAGGCAGGCTCTGATGGGGCTGGATCCTGCACACCACCGGCAGGTGCTGTCCATCCTCCCTCTCGTTAATCTGTAACACATCAGCTTCCAGCATCAAAGGGCAGAATGTGGAAAATCAGGCCCTGGGCCTCGGAGCGTGGCCACGGGCGCAGCGAGCCGGGATGTTAAAAGTTGACCAGACTTCAAAGTGCTGGATCATTTCCTCCCAACCTCTCCCACCTGCTCTTCCCATGGGCACAGCTCCTTCCCCTGCTTGGATTTCTTCTCATCAACCTTCAAGTGTGGTCCCAAAGTGAATGGGGCTGTATTTTGGCTTAGGGGTCTAAGGTCTGGAGCCTGCCTGTCCTGGGCTGCTCCCCCTTTCCTGCTTCACTGGCTTTTGTTCTTTATTGTTTCACTGGGTTCAGGGATATGCTGGATTGGGATAAACTGTCCCTACACGTCCTGTGGGCTTCAGCAGGTTATTCATCCCACCTTCCTCAGCCACCCATCAGTGGGTGGATGGATGGATGGATGGATGGATGGATGGATGGATGGATGGATGGATGGACCGATGGATGGGAACAGTGGGGATGCTGGTAGATATGTACATCGACATGAATGGATGGCAGAAATCCACAGTCTATGGAGTCAGGCTGATACTGAGAAAGGACCCCACCACTGAGCCAGGGAACGGGAAGCTACCCAGATCCCATTGCAGTGGGTTGGAAGAGCACGGAAAGATGCTGCTGGCTCTCACCCACCTACTCAGTGGTCACACTGGCTTTTCCATGGGGGCCCTGCACAGACAGGGGCTCTGGTGTGGTGGGTCCTGGTGGGCTCCCAACATACTCAGAGGTGGGAGATCTTGCAGGCCATTCCATGTGGACACAGCTGTGGTTTCTGTGGTTGCAGGCATGTGGCATTGGTTGAGAGTGATGTGCAGAGGTTGGGCACTTGGGGACACCATTGCCCAGACCTTGTCCCTGACCCTGGGGACCCCATGTCCCCTGTTTGTCCACAGGTGAGTGGGGCAATGAAGTGGTTCACCCACACCAGGGCCCACGGAGAGCAGCATCATTGAAACACAAGGGGTTTGGGCAGCCTCTGCATCTCCTGCTTGTGACACGGCTGATGCCACAGGGACCGGCTCGATGGGTCCCATGGCCAGGAGCTCTGCGCTTTAGCACTGTGATTCCTGGGAATGCTTTTGAGGGTTTACACCACTGGGAGCCCTCAGTAGAGCTCAGTGGTGGTGGTTGGGTTGAGCCAGCTTTCCCTGCTGCTTTTGGGGGTGAAGACTGGTCTCCCAGCTAATGTCCCACCACGTACCTCTCCCCAGCGCTGTCAGATGTCACCTTAGGAATGCTTTGCCATGCCCAGCAGGGGCATCGCTGCAGCAAAGCCATCTTTCCAGGAGAGCTCGGGGTATTTCAACACAGGAAATTACACTTCCAGCCCCAGGAAGGGTTTGGGTGCTCCCTTGCATGGCACCAGAGCGTGACCCCACATCAGACCCCCCCCCGGGGCTCACACTGGCTTTGCTCCAGCAGAGAGGAAATCAAGATCCCCTGCAAGATTATAGTGTTTAGGGGCAAAGGAGCCATGGGGAGGGGTGCCATCCCCACTCAGATGCTGTTAAGAGTCCCCCCTAAGCCCTGTGGGGATCACCCTGCATTGTATTAGGGGAGATCAGCAGACTTGGCTCCCCCTCACCCCCACAACATACCATTAAATGGCATCGAGACAGTGTATGAGCCTCTTACATATGTTGCTTATAGACGCCAAACTTATTAACACAATAAAACTGCTGCTAAGAAGCTTTCCTGCCTCTTTTTCCCGCGGGGAGAGCATCAGTGTTGGAAGCACCTAAACCGCCTCGTATGGAAACATCCGGGGTTGCTTTTCATATGGCACCCAGGAAAATAAATACATGACTCAGCCAGGATCCCCCTTCCAGTGCTCCCTGGAGGGATACCCCAGAGAGGGGGGGTTAAAGCCAAGTCTTGGGGGGGAAGCATCGCATCCCATCCAATGCCTGGCTCGGAGGTGATGTGTGTGGGGTGCTGGTGGTCTCCTCCAATGCACGACATTCCGAATGGATGAATCCTCCTTCTGCTTCTCTTTGGAAGTGGTCGGAGGGGGGACCCTGCCTGAGTCATGTGTTTGTTTGCCTGGGTGCCATATGAAAGGCAACCCCGGGTGTTTCCATACGAAGCAGCTTAGGTGCTTCCAACACTGACATCCTCCCGGAGAAAAATAGGCAGGAAAGCTTCTTAGCAGCAGTTTTATTGTGTTAATAAGTTTGGCGTCTATAAGCAACATATGTAAATGACTGATATACTGTCTTGATGCCATTTAACATTATGTTGCGGAGGTGAGCGGGAGCCAAGTCTGCAGCATCAAGACTAATACGTGAGGA